AGAGCAATAAACAAGTAAATTATATAATTATAATTTAAATTATATGTTAAGAGATGATACACATTATGAACAGAAAGAAGGGAAGTGACAAGATGAAAGAGCACATAGGAGGGAGGGAAGAAGAGAGAGAGAGAGAGGGAACAAGATAAAGGGAATTGAGAGCAGCAGAGATGAGTGAGGTTAAATTTGAAACAGGATGATTAGGGCAGGAGTTACTATGCCAGAACAAAGATCCTAGAGGCAAAGATCACCAATCATTTATTTATTCATCTGGGGGGATTTCACTGGACACTCAGTGGGTCCTGGCCTTTTGGTGTAGGCGGCCCGTGAGATCAGTAGAATCCAGCCATCACCTCTTGGGGATCTCTGAGAAGCGTCCAGAACACCACTGTGGTCTTAGCCGCTGTCCCCTAACAAAAGGACATCCCCTAAGCACATGGCCAGCCAAGGGGCTCCAGTGCTGCTCCACAGGACACAGAACATCTGCATACAAAAGAAAAAGTATGGCAGCAAGACCATGGCTGTGCATGGAGGCGGAAGGTGTCCCAGCCCTCTGGGGAGCAGGCAGTCTGTCGCTGCTCCCACTCACTCACCACACATGGCCACGGCTCTTCCTCCCTGGAAAATATCTCACCTGTCTCTTCTCACTTTTCTCCTTCACAGCTTCCCCGGAGTAGAGCTAAACTCACAATCAAAACACTGTGTGAAAGCCCCAGGTGCCGGCTGGTTGCTCTTGCAAGTTAAATGAATCTGTAGACTCCTGTGTCTATTCCTGTCCACTAATTGGAGTCAGCCGACCCCAGACCGTTCATTTTTCTCCCTCCTTCTAATTTGTTGAAGTAGCATTCTAGAGATAAGTGGTCTCTGTCAGGGGCCCTCGTATTGCACTATGTAGGAGCAATAATCCTTTGCATTTGGGGAGGATTTTATGATTGATGAGGCACTTTCACATCTATCATGTCATTTGACCCCTGCAAAAGTGCTAGATCATTATTCTGTTTTTAAACCTCTAGATTAGAAGGGCCTATACTTGTAGGAGTGAGAGATTTGTCCAGCATCACACAACCACTGAATTCCCAATATTCTTTCTAAAACCCAAGCCGGCTGGCTCCATACATACTTAGTGACAGGCCATATGAACTAAGTAAAGGTGACCCAATACCAAATTTAATAGAAATTAAGAGAGAACAACCCAGGGGTAATGGAGCCTAGTGTTTCTTAAACTTCAACCCATACAGAAATCACTCGAAGATCTTGTCAAAATGCAAATTCTACTGAGCATATGACTGTAATCCCAGTTACTCAGGAGGCTGAGGCAGGAGGATAGCAAGTTCAAAGCCAGTCTAGGTAACATAGCTTATAACAAAATAAAAATGTATGCAGTCTGGGAGTGTAGTTCAGTATTCCTTTGGTTCAAACCCCAGAACTGGAAAATAAAAAGTGCAGCGGGTTGGACTAGCAAAGGGATGATGTGAGTCCCTGCTCGGAGTTGTCAGATGGGACGGCACTCAGATCCCAGCTCTGTCTTTGAGTGGCAATGTGGCTTCAGGATAGGCTCTTCACCAAGTGTAAACTTCATCAGCTTATTATTTTTTTCACGAACTAGGCAACAGAGAAATGCGGTTGGAGACACTCAGACTGTCCCCAACTAGACTGTCATGTCGGGTTATGTGAGGTGTTTTCTGCAAAAGGTATCCACCCAGAAGGGCTGAGGCCAGCGGGAGCCCAGCTTCCACTGCACGCCTCACCCCTGCCTGAGGCCATGGCCACCTAGAGAGGGAGGCAGTTTTTCAAATAAACAAGGACACTGTAAGGATGAGCAGAGCCCATCCTTCCCACCGCCCCTGACGAATGCTCTGCTCGTGGTCTCAGCTGATCTGCCTCTGTAGATCTTGATCTGGTTACAGAGATCCTCATCACCACTTGTCTCACCTCTCATGCATTTGTTCCTGATAAGGGTCTTCTCGAGCCTTCGTCCAGCCCTCTATGATATCCCGCCCCTTTCAAAAGCCTCGCGGTAGACCCAGTGTTTATTCATTGCCAGTCATTCAGTCAACAGCGAGTGTTTATGGGGTGGCCTTTGTGTGCTGGGCACAGTTCCAGGCACTGCAGTAGTAGAAATCCCAAGAAGCAAAAAACAACAACAACAAAAAAGCAAAGCCCATGCCCTATGCAGCTACCATTCACAAGGGGATGAAAGAGTGTATAAATGTTGTTTACAATAACAGCAGCTAATGATATATATCACGAGGAAAATAAGGCGAGGTGGCCCAGAGATGACCCTGGAGCAGGGACCCGCAGTGGGTGAGGGGATGAGAACGAGGAGGGTGGTAGGGAAGCACATGCGGGCAGAGGAGCAGCCTCTGCGACAGGTGTGGGAGCAGCACGGTGCTTGGCGCAGAAGGGGTCAGGGTCACTGGAACGTGTGACACAGAGACAGACAGAGATGGAGAGAAGCCGAAAGAGCTTTGGGTTTTTTCCTTAAATGTGAGGATGATGCTGGCGCCCTGCACCGTGACCCTTGCTACTGCTGCAGTGATGCCCCTCCCACCCTTTATCTCTGACTTGAGTGATCTAAGGGGATTGCTGGGTGGCATCATCCACTCAACTTTCCCAAGTCCCTCGTGTGCCAGGCATTGTTCCAGGCTCCATTCTATGCCTCAGGACAGAACAGTGAGCAAGACAGACAAATCCCCACTCTCATGGGGCTTACGCTCCCACCCTTGGGGAGATGGATCTTCATACCACCCTCTTCTCCTTGCTGAGCCCTGTGTGGGGCTGAAGGTGTCGCGGACACTGTTTAACGGAGCCTATTTTTCTTTACATACATCAATTGGGATTGAAGGCCAAGCTAAAGAGGGCTGAGGGCACCTCTTCCTACACACAGCTTTGTGGTGGTTATTACTGTTTACATGTGGTTTGTAGCCAAAAGCTTCACGTGCTGGAAGCTTGGTCCCTGAGGTGGTGTTTCTGAGATGCAGAAACTCAGAGGCCAGGGCTCGGAGGAGGTGCTTCAGTCCTGGGAACCCTGCTTTCCAAAGGGATCCAGTCTTTTTTCCTCTCTCCTCCTCCCTCTTGCTCTTCGTAGGGGACTGCAGTATTGATTATGCCCAAAGCAGGCTGCAAGCAGTGCGGGCTGTAAAGCATTAACCTCCCAATTGGCTTGTTTATAGAAGTGAATCCTGCAAGGTCAGAGTAACTGGAGCCCAACGTGGGGCTCAAACCCACGACCCTGAGATTAAGAGTATCATGCTCTACCAATTGAGCTAGGCTGGCATGGTGGCACATGCCTGTAGTCCCGGCTACTTGGAAGACTGAGGTGGAAGGATCACTTGAGTCCAGGAGTTCTGGACTGCAGTGCACTCTGCTGTCTGGGTGTCTGCCCTAAATTTAGCATCAAAATGATGATTTCCCAGGAGCAGGGTACCACCAGGGTGCCTAAGGAGGGGTGAACTGGCTCAGGTCGGAAATGGAACAGGTCAAAACTGTTGTGTTGATCAGTAGTGGGATCATGTCCATGAATAGCCACCACACTCCAGCTTGGGGAATAGAGTGAGACCCTGCCTCAGCCTCCTGAGTAGCTGGCATTACAAAGCACATACCACCATGCCTGGCAGGAGCAGCTTGACGCTCTTATGGGAAACCTGTTTCTCTTTCTCTACCAGGATGTGCTGCAGCCAGGGGTGGGGATCACAAGGCAAGGCCACCTGATCTTGGACTTTCAACTTCCAAGCCTGTGAGCAAAATAAGCTTCTTCTTTTTATGAAGTGTCTGGTGTTAGAGATTTTGTTTTAGCAACATGAAATATATTAATACGGTGACTGATGAAAATCAAGAGCATGAGGTTGATGCGGGGTCAATATAAAGCAGAGAGAGAAGACAGCCCCAGGAGGAAAGGGCTTGTGAGGCTGAGCTTCCTGAGGGAGCTGGAATTAACCTGGCCCTGGAATGCATATAAATTCTGGGTAGAAAAGGAAATGGGATAGGAAGCCTGACCTCCTTCTATTTCACATGTATATCCGTAAGCATTCTAACCAAACTGTACTTGCTCTCCAAGACCCAGCTTAAAATGTGTCACCTATGCAAGATCATTCTTTCTAAATGTGCTCACTCCTCCCTTCCGATGGCTGTCTCATTGTGCATTACCTCAGGGCTTCCGGTGCCCAGCTGTGAAGCCAGCTCCAAGTAGCACTCAGTCAATATACGCTGGGTGAATGGATGGATGTATGGATGCCATGATGCCCATGTGTGAATAGTTTCATCTCAGAGTAGGTGGTTGGTTCCAGGGCATACGCAGGTAGGGTGCAGGAGAGGTCTAAGTCTAATTAATTGGTCTCTCTTTTCTCCCTGTAGCACCCTGACTATGGTTTTGTACATAATAAAAGTTCAATAAATGTGTGCTGAATGAAAGAAGATAAGCTTTGACCAGAAGTATAAGTCCAAGGGTTCAGTTTTTCCCATGAAACTTTAATGCCAGAAAGGATTTCTGCATATGAAATTCACCCTTCTTTGCTCACTTTTACATAATTCAAGCAGCGTGTGGTTCTTAAGGGACTTCTTTGGACATTAAGTTCTCTCTCAACAGTCTGAGAATTGAACAGCTGCACTTAAGCAATTACCATCGATTTGTCATTACGAAGGGGGAATGGGAAGCCATGGAGGGAAGGACATGGAGACGGAGATGAGAGGCAGGGGTGCAGAGGGCCCCAGGGACAGAGGTATCCAGGGCCCAAAAGGCACAGGGACAGGGGTCCGAGGCACAGGGATTGCCTAAGGGGGACGAAGTGCTTGGAGTAGTCAGAGTGCAGGACAAGACACGAATACACCCCAGGGACATGGGGACCTTTAAATTGCATCTTGATTTGCTTATTTCTCCCTCCCTCCCCCTTACCCCCCAACAGTATCTCTAGCTGATGCCCCTCACATCAGTTTGACAAGCACATCTCCACAAGCAAAGTCAGGGAGGGGAAGAGGTCAGAGAGATTGTTTTTGTTTTGCAGCAAAAACCCAGGAGATGATAAGGAGAAGCATCCAGGCATTCTTTGAAGACGGAAGTCCCCCAGGAGCTGTCAGAGTGGGAGATGACCTGGGGGAGGGGCTGCCAGCTTTCCCACCCTCCTCTTCCAGACACATGTGTGTTGATGACTCGGTAAGGATAGCTCCAAGCTGGAGGCCATAGTGCGGGCAGTAGCTGACCTCCTGGAGAAAAGATGGTACGTGACTCCTACAGAGACCAGAACTCAGAAAGGGGGAGTCTACGAAAAAGGAGAAGTGATTTCCCTCTTCTGACTTCTCGCTTAAACTGAAATCCTCTCAGTGGAGGGAGGGAAGAGAACAAACCTTATTCCCCACTGTCACTTTATTGTGAATTAGTACTACTAATGCCTCATGAGAATAGAGGAAAATGGAGACAGAGAAGTGGGGGAGAGGGGCAGCAGCAACCCACTCTGGCCCAGACAACTTCATATACCTGTTTCATGGAAATTGCCAAACACTTCTCTGAAACAAGCTCTGATTCTCATTTGTGTTGGTTGAATTGTCCCCTCCTCACAATTGCCTCCAGAAACCTGCCAGTGTGATATTATGTGGAAAAAGATATAATCTTGCAGATGTGATTGACTTAAGGCCCTGGAGATGAGATCATCCTAGATTATCCCAGTGAATCCTAAATCCAACCACAAGTGTTCTTATAAGAGATGGAAGAGGAAAAGAGAGAGAGATGGAAGAGGGCAAGACACAGAGAGAGAAGAGGAGAGGCCATATGAAGACAGAGGCAGAGGCCAGAACGATACATCCGCAAGCTGGGGAATGGCTGGAGCCCAGAGAAGCGAGAAGATTCTAGGAACGACTTGCCCTCCAGCCATCAGCAAGAGTGTGGGCCTGCTGACACTTCGATTTTGGACCTCTGGCATCTGTAACTGTGAGAGAATAAATTTATGTAATTTAAGCCACCAAGTTTGTGGTAATTTGTTGTGGTCACTCTAAAAAACGAATGCACCATTTCATGACTTGGGAAAACTAGCCTCAGAGAAGTGAAGCAAACTCTCAACAGACCGGACTCTTTTGAGACAGATCAGGGTTACAGACCCTCTTAGAGTGGGAATAAGATGTTAGTATTTCCCAAAGAGCATCCTGCAGAAATGGGCCCAGAAAGGCCATCTGGAAAGTATTCCACAACGAGAACATTTGGGAAACGCCATGCCTTGTTCTACCAGGAACACATTTGATGCTTTGATGTCACTTCCTTAGCAAGATCTTCCTCACCCAGCAAAAGATAGGGCCTTGGGCCAGTGAGTCTTCCTCACAGTACCTTTGCTGGGCTGCCCTCCTTGGCACCTAAGTCACATGCCTGAGTAAACTCATCTGTTTTGGTTTAGTGTCTCCAGTTACACCACAGGCTTGATGAGTGTGAGATCTGCATCCGATTCCCTCCCCCAGTATTCCTGGTCTTGAATGCAAAACTTGATGTATATATAT